TAGCGGGGGAGAGGGGGTTGTGTGCAATTTAACAACTGGTTTGCCCAAACCTCCACTGAACTATTCTGTATAAACACTATAGTCTCCTAGCTAATATACCATTGCTATACGCTAAACAAATAAATTTGAATTATTAACCAATGATCTGTCTAGTACAAGAAAGGCCAACTAATAGAAAAATAATGCAAAATCAAATAACATTTAATATTAATGATATTATAGCAGCTCAGGAGAAGCTTTTGATCAGAAGAAGGTTGTGCAATAGAAATTCTTTGGCATGAATATCTGCAAGCCATTTATGGGAGCTCTGTTAATCCTTAGCGAAAACACAGAAGTCAACTGAGGAGAACAAATCACAATTCACAAAAGAGAATTACCTCAAACCAATGACGTCAGTGTTGCGGGTGAAAACTCTTGCTATTAACACTGCCAGGTCGTTGGCTTCAGTACCACTGTTAGTCAGATAAGCTACCTATGGCAAAGATTGTGACGAAAATACATCGTTAGAGAAGAGACTGAAGCTGCCACGTATCTAAATTTATGCACAATTACCAACCCAACCTAGGGCAATGCAAAGTTATTATACAGGTAGTTCTCAACTTGCAACCACAATTGACCCAAAATATCTACTGCTAAATGAGACAGTTGTTAACTGAATTTTGTCCCATTTCATGACTTTTCTTGCCACAGTTGTTAAGCTTTAGTAACGTGGTTGCAAAGCGAAACTGGCTTCACATTAACTTTGCTTGTTAGAAGGTCACAAAATATGATCACATGATCCCAGGACACTGCAACCATCTTAAATATGAGCCAGTGGCCAAGCGTCTGACTTTTGATCAGGTGACCCTGGAAATGGCTGCAATGGTTATAAGTCTGAAAAACAGTCATAACTCACTTTTTCAGCACTATTGTAACTTTAAATGGTTATTAAATGAATGGTTGTGCAGTAAGTCAAGATTACCTGAATCTACCTTTCAAAATATATTTTGTGTTATTGGTAGTGATTTGTTCTTCGAGCTGCCTGTTAAGCTTCCAAACATTTTGTCACCAAGCAGGATGACATCCTCAGCGGGACTTCGGTTGAAGCATCTTGTTTCAGTTCTTCTCTGCTTTTATTGACCTCATGTGGTCAATGGGTTGTGTGACTAGCTGGTCATGCTATGTAACATGCCGTGTGGCTGGCTGGTTATTATGTGTGAACGTCCGGAACAGAAATAATTGGCCATGCTACCACATGCCACACGCAAGAATTCATTGAAGCCTGGTATTCAACCGATGGATCTATCAACAAATATGTCAACTTGGAGGAAACCTAAGTTTGATAAGGCCTAAGCTAGCTCTATCAATCAAGCGACCAGACCAACCAACAATAGCACTGACCACCTCTTCACTTGGTAAACCTTCACACATAATGACCAGCCAGTCACACGGCATGACCAGTCAGTCACATGATCCACTAACCACATGAGATCAATAAAAGTAGAGAACAGAAACAAGATGTCAACTCATAAAATAATTCTATGGTCTTTTTAGAGTTGCCAACAGAAAGGGAAGTGGGAGCAGTGCAGCAGCTTGCAAAACCGAAACTGCATCCCATAAATGCTTTTAAAGATAGCAACTAGGTGACTGAAGGTTCTGCCAAAATTCTAACTGCAGAGCATGATTGATGACTCTTGTCTATGGATGTGTCCCATTGGAGAATATGAATTATGATACACCCAGGGGTGGGGGAAAAGCAGGGTCAAGGGTGACAATGAATTATGTGTCTGAGAGTCGGCTATATCCAGACAGTGCTGGACATATTAACTCCCAATAAATCCTTTTTAAGTTTTGGAAGTTTGGCTCGAGATTCATGATTTAAATGGGGGTAACTGCCGGAGCCTGACATAAGATGCTTCAACCAAGGTCCCGCTAAGGATGTCATCTAGCCTGGTGATAAAACATTCAGAAGCTAAACAGCAAGCTCGGAAAACAAACCAACAACAACATCTATTACCCAAGCTAGAAATAATATTTTCTATTGTTTCTAATATATATTTTGCATTTTCCACAGCTCCAACTCTCTGATTGTCACCCTAACTCATAAAACTAAATTATCTAATTTTGATATTAGGGCCCAGTTCTTTTTCCCACCACATAAATAACATTCACAACCTGCACCCACCCCAGAAGCAGATGCCCAACCTGACACACCTTTAAGGAGCCGGGAAGCAGTGAAGTCAGTTTCTCTGTATATTCTTGGATTCCTGGATGCAAGTAGATGTTGCTCGTGTGTCCTAGGCGGCCGAACTGTTTCTGAGCTGCTGCTGTTACTTTCCTGGATTCATGAGGGAGAAAAAAATGGCACTTCCAATCTGATTTGTGGCAATGTTGGTTCTTAATTAGGAGGCTAAGACTTGAAAAAATATATCTCCCTATATGTCTCTTCTTGAAGATTAAGGTCTGGAGGACTGGTGGTATCATCCCATAGCTGCAGAAGTGGTATTCAGCAGGTTCTGACCAGTTTTGGAGATCCGGTAGCAGAAATTTTGAGAAGTTCAGAGAACCGGCAAATATGATCTCTGACTGCCCCTGCCCCATCTACTCTCTGCCTCCCAAGTCCCAGCTGAACATCTGGGTCTTTTTTGGTTGCCCTGCCCAGGAGAACGGAGCTGGAAAGCAGGTTAGTGGGGTGGGGAAGCAATGGGGATTATGCAATAACCTTCCCCTGCCATGCCCACCAAGCCACGCCCACAGAACCGACAGTAAAAAAATTTGAATCCCACCACTGCATAGCTGGGGAAAAAACCCATCAGGGACTTCATTGTGGTGCTCTGGCTTTGAACCTCCTTCTCCCAGAGCCCACATTTGGTTAGTTTTTTTAAAATAAATATTTATTTATTTATTTATTTTATTTTATTTGTCAAGCAAGTATTAGATAACAAGTATCCGTATAAACATGGTTATGAATACATAAATGGATACAAATAAAAGGGAACATTAGAACAGGGATGGTAGGCATGTTGGTGCGCTTATGCACGCCCCCTACAGACCTCTTAGGAAAGGGGTGAGGTCAACAGTAGACAGTCTGAGGTTAAGGTTTTTACGGTTTGGGGAAGAAACCACAGAGTCAGGCAGAGTATTCCAGGCGTTGACTACTCTGTTGCTGAAGTCGTATTTCTTGCAATCAAGTTTGGTATGGTTTACTTTGAGTTTGTATCTATTGTGTGCTTGTGTATTGTTGTGGTTGAAGCTGAAGTATTCATTGACAGGTAGGACATTGCAGTAGATAATTTTATATACTACACTTAGGTCGGACCGAAGGTGGTGTAGTTCTAGGTTATCTAGGTCTAAAATTTCAAGACTGGTGGCATAAGGTATTCTACTATGAGCAGAGGAGTGGAAAACTCTTCTCATGAAATATTCCTGCAGTTCCTGCTTTTTGATGACTGACCTTCTCACATCTGGGTCCTAACATCTGAAAACTCTTTCCTCTTGATACCTTAAGTGATTATCTGTCAGACTTTTCATAAACACCATGTGGCTGAAATGAAGATATAACGTGAATTACATAAAAGGCATTACCGGTATATCAATCAGTGTAGGGCTGTGTAAGAAGCAAGGTTGGTTTCTCAGGCTAGGAGATGTAGAAAAAATGGACTGATGCTCATGTAAACGAAATTAAATTAAAGTTCCTTTTCTTTTTCCTCCTGCTTTTAATTTATTTTGCTTACTACTCCTGGGTCGCTTTCTATGCGTTGCATAATTTTTATCCAAAAGGAAAGGTTGGATAAATAAAAAAAAAAAAAGAATGTATGTGGTTTTACTGTTTTTCTTTGCTTATATCCTGAAATATCACCAGTCACAAGCTTTTTTTTTAAACTAGTGGGCAGGCTGTATTTAAATAATAACAACAACAACAACAGCGAACTAAGATGCTGCATAATTTACAGAAATGGAAACAATCTTAAGTCCCTAGAAAATGAAACATTATAGGAACACTTTCAGAAGAATAATATCTTTTAAATAAATAAAACATCACTGTGTGTATTGCGCTGCTCATAAATCCAATTAAATAATCCAATTAAATAAGCCTGTTCAAAGTAGCTGTGATGTCAAACAAATCTCTACGGAGATTCTCAATTGTCCAAGTCTTGGTTGTCCCAAAGATATTTTTTTTCCAAAATGCCTCTGGATTTTCTTGTTTTGTTTTTTTCTTTGAAAACCTTTTAAAGAAAAACTAAAGCTTCCTGGATGAGAAGCACAATATTTTCAAGGAGAAAAAAAACAGTTGCTTTTTGGAAAAAGCACCTGTGGGATGATTTCAGAGAAGGTAAGCCAACAGCAACCAAAGCGGGGAAAAAAGGTTTCCTGGGTCTTTGCAATTGGCGCATACTACTAATGTAATTCAGCCAGGGGTGGGATTCTATCGGTTTGGGTTGGTTCGGGCGAACTGGATGTTAAATTTATGTCTGGTTCGCTGAACCAGTAATTGAACCGACTGCCTGGCCCTGCCCAACCCTCCCCCCTCTCGAGGCCTGTTTTGGGTGCAAATAAGTGCAGGTCCATGAAGAAGCACTGG